ATCAGCAGCTTTAAGGAATTACACTTCAGAAAGCCAGTTTTAAAGCACATCCTTTCCAGTAGCTCCATCTGGGTTACCTCGCCCACATAGATCTTCATGGCAATGTTATCAATTCCCAAGAAACTTGGAACAAGAAAAGTTCAGGATATCATCACCATGGCTTTCAGAGTACATTACACATTTATGAGATAAATGGGGGAAATGGGAATATGGACTGCATAGTATACCAAGGAATTACTGCTGATGTATTAGGTATGATAATGACATTTGGTTATATAAGAAAATGTCCATAATTTTTTTTAAGTATTGCATACCCAGAAGTAAGTAGGAGTAAAATGATATGATGTCTGAGATCTACAGAGCTGCCTAAAATATTTCCACCAAAAGGAGAAGAAAAAAAAAGAGGACAGATGAGACGAGTGCTATAATATCTTCGTAACTGTTAAGTTTATATACATGTAGCATCATTATATATCATCATGCATTATACTACTCTTGTATATATGTGAAATTTTTCATAATAAAAGAAGATTTTTAATGGAAACTTCCCATTACTCCTTTAAAGATTATATTTAGAAGATGCAAGTGTAACTATTTTAAAACCACTTTGTATACTATATAGTTTTACTGCATTTCACCATTGGGTTTTTGGAAAGGGTTTCTCTCCCGGATTGGTTATTTAAAACAGACTCTCCAATTTATTGCCAAAAGTGTTTCCAGAAACTGCAATCTGGGGGTGAGGGCGTGGGAGAGTGGGGGTAGAATCTAGTCGCATATATCAACACATGGACTCAACAAACAAGATGGCAGCTGCCATTGAAAATAAAACATAAAAAATAATGCAAGCAAGAAGGAAGCTAAGTCACAATATTTAGCCATCCCAAAGTTTGTTAATGACAACTCATGCTTTCCACTTTTTCTTTTTCTTTTTTTGCTTTCCACTTTTGACATTATCACCACTGAGACTTCTATTTTCTTTCAAATACAAGTAGAAGGAAAAAGTTCCATTATCCATACCAATCTGGGAAGTTATAAACTAGAAAACACTGAAAGCTTAAAACCGCAGGCCTCCCTTGGAGCACGCCTGCCTCCTTCAGTCAATCAGCAGAACAGAGGCCTGCTAGCAAAGACCGAGCTCAACAGTTTCCAGCTTTTTCTAAATGGGATGCTTTTCAGAGTAAACTATGCCCTGAAAACTACTAATATCAAACAACACCAGATGTCAAAGACCAAACCAACTGAATCTTTTGGTCACAGCTTTTGTTCCCACACGGTTTAATGATAAATTGAACACGTAAACAAGATAAGTTTTATAAATTCCTCTTTATATAAAATTGAATTTAAGTCTAAAACACCTGGGAACTTAACAGTCCTCTAGTTTGAAGGAGCTCTGGTGGCACAGTGATTAAGCATTCAGCTGCTAACCCAAAGGTCAGCAGTTCCAACCCACCAGGCGCTCTGTGGGAGAAAGACACGGCAGTCTGCTTCCATAAAGATTACAGCCTTGGAAACCCTATGGGGCAGTTCTACTCTGTCCTATAGGGTCACTGTAAGATGGAATCAACTCGATGGCAAGGAGCTGGGTTTCCTTATTTTTTAGTTTGAAGAAACTAAAACAAATGGCAAGTAAATATAATGCCATCAGAATTGTTCAGAAGAGTCAAATCACTTTTGGCATACGTCATAGGGTTAATAGAGACTGAGTTTAATTTCCAATCGTTCTAAATACATATTATACAATCATAATGAATAGTCAAAAATGAACAGCTTCAGGCATCACAAGAACCTAAATAAGTAATTATGTTTAGAAAGTTCTGACTGCCACTATGCTAATACTGACTTTTCCCTGAACCCTGTGATACTGGAAAACAGCAATGGTTAAAGAAATCCTTCCACTCTTTGCGTTCATGAAAACAGCTTGCTGCAAATAAGCACTCTTCCTATGTGGCTTAGATAAGACTCACGGATTCCCCTTTCTTTATCTATAAGGCCAGACACAGACCCTCCAAATTCCCATTTCTTGCCTCATAAATGAATAACTGAATTGCTTGTCCCCAATGGTCAATCAGAACTTGTTAACTAAACTTTGGTTAAGCTTCTCTCCTTCCCCCAAGTGCCTGAATTATGGCCCATTCTCACTCAGCCGGAGCCAACATACTAACCCTCTTTCAGGGCTCCTCCCAGAGCACAGCCTGGCCTCAGCATAAAACAGTCTGATTTACTATCTAATGATGTCACCCGCTCATCCCACCTCTCCACAACTGTTTTCTAGCCTTGTTTACTCTCAGCCTCTAAAAGAAAAGCGCTTTTTCCCTAACTCTTTGAGACATTGCTAGATCTTACAGTCAAGGTTCTCCCAACGTGGAAGTCCCTCCCCCACCTTCCCTTTCTCCCTTCCTTTCTGAATCAAGCTTCTCCCTACTGAAGTCTGGATTTGTTTTTATCTGACACCTATTTCTTTGAAAAAGTCATGATCCATGCGTGGCATAGAGGATAATTCTTAGTTAACCAAAATAATCCATGAATCAGAATGCAGATTACTTCTTAATTTCATAACATTCCTTGTATATGGGCGATAAAAACTGTAGTTTATTTTTTGATGAAATATTTCAAACACACAGAAAATACAACAGAGCAAATCCATGAACTCACCATCCAGATTTAATAAATATCAACATTTAATATATTTGAGACGTTTAAAGAAACATTATAAACCATAGGCTTTTTTTGGTTCCTGATTTAGCTTCTCACAAATCGTATCTCCTCCCTTGATTTTATTCAAAGTGTTACAGACTTCCCCACACTCAAGTTCTCACTCCTTCTCCTCACAGACCCATCTTTCTATATTATTTTATAGACAAATACCTTGAAGCATCTATACTTCCAATTTCTACTTCCTCTCCTCTTATTTATTCTCCAACCTACTAAAACCTAGTTTCAGTCCCTCATAAACCTATACTATTTGACCATGTAGTAACTTCTGACTGAAGCTCACAGGACTGGGTGTCACCCAGCCCGAAGGTCCTCAGAATTGCAACTTATCATCTTTGGACAATGAGGATCTATTGTTCTGATTGTGCAGGCAGGCAGGCTGGGGGGAAAAAGGCCTGAATGGAAGAAATCTGTGAGGCCGTACCTAATGGGAGGGGAAGGAAGGCAGAAGGAAGATTCGCTTTCAATTACAACTTCAGCAAAGAAAGGCAGAATTGTAGACTAGGAATCATGGCTATAAAAATTCTGGAAGATTTCCAAACTTGTTAAAAAGTATATATGGTATGCTTTTATTCTATTCCCTCCTATTCTATCCTAGCCTATTGTTTCCCTTCCCTTCCCATCCCATCCTGTCCTATCCTATCGTATCCAATTCACAATGACAAAAAAGTCTAAAGGATATACATCAAAATGTTAATAATGACTAAATTTCTAGATGTTAAGATTATGGATTGTTTTTATCTTCTTCTTTTTAACAACATATACTTAGTAAAGTTTTTATAATGAACATATCTTTTTTTTTTTTTTTAAATAAGAAAAAGGTTGCTTTTTTTCTTTTAAGCAAAAGGTTTGCACGCTTCTCTTTCAGGATAACAAAGAAGGGTGTTGCCAGGGAGATGCAGCTCCTTGGGATACATGTGAGGAGAAAACCTCCAGGGAGTGAGTGAGTGTTGGCAGCCTGAAAGAGGAAAGAAGGCAGGCTAAATCCATGGAGCCCAGTCTTAGAAAAGATCTCCCAGGAACCAGTCTGGCCTGAGACTTAATCAAAGAAAGGCCCCAACACTCTTCCTAGGCCTTCCAATGGTCATCAAGTCCTTTCAGTCTCCCTTCAAATTACTGCTGGAATCTTACTGTTCCTTTTCATCTCCACACTACCACTACTACACAAGCCACCCAAATGGTGTCCTAGAGACTGGCTCAATGACTTCCAATCCATCCTCCACGTGGTTACATGCTCTAAACGGTGAGTATTTTAAAACACTGCAATAATTCCCCACTGACCATAGGATACTCTAAATTCTGAAAATGAGTATCACACTCTGCTTACCTAAACCAGCTCAGCTTCCCAGGAGACAACTAGACTCCAGTTAGATTTGATACCGGCAGTTCTCTAAACGCCCCGTACTCTGGCTTTGTGCCTCCACTCATGCTCTTCCCTTTGCCTAGAATATGCTTCCCTACCCTTACCTACCTGGCAAGCTTCTATTCTCCCTTTACATCTAGCTCAAATGAACAATCCTCTGTAAAGGACTCCTGGTCAACTGGCTGCTCCCTCTGCTATACTCCTTAGCCATTTTGTACATAACATCTTACAGCACTCATTTTGCTGTTGGGTTTATTGTTAAATACCTGTCTATCCCACTAAACCATAAGATATTTGAGGTCAGGAACTATATATCCCTATGCATTGAGAATAGTGCCTAGCACACAGTAGATACTCAATAAATATTTGATAAATTAATTAATATTAGGCCAAGTATAAATAAAACACCATGAAGTGTTCATCTTTACTACATATTTTTGTAGAAATATCAGAAATAAATTTTAGGAGCTGAAAAACAGTGACTAACTCACTCTGGTACTCTCTGAATGAAGTCAATTCAGAGTTTAAGACCTAACTGAAAAGAAAGCATATGTAAAGCCAAATATATACTGGGCCAACAGTAAGATTTGTGCCATCTTTATAGCTAAAAACATAGAACTGTAACAATTTTGGAATTACCATCTGAACTAGTAATTTGAGGATAACATATCAAAGGAAGAGTTTTTGTTTCTTCCTTCCCATAGCGGTGGTGATGATGGTGGGGGGATGCAAAGTATGTGTTAAAATGCAGAAGTAATTATAAATTGTATCTTCTCTTCAAAATCAAATTGGTAAGCATGGTTAATAACCTGAGACGATGGAAAACTTAAAGATCAACTGCAAGAAAATAGTATCTGCACATAACTCTCATTTCCATATATTTTAACTTTTATCAGTGCCTGCCTAGTGCCTAAATTGAATTTACCTGAGCTAAAGTAGGAATTGAATTTGGACCAGTCTGAGTCTGCATATGAGCAGATTCGTTCTCTGCCACAGAAGCTGTTACACTTCCATCCTGCTGGGATTCAATTGTTTCCATGGTCATTTGTCTGAAAAGACAATAAAAAGGAAGAAGTATTAAGGCTCTATCTGAAATATTTCCCTATTTTTATCTAGCTTTCTGATACTCATTGCTGACATCTAGTTGTACTGTCTTAAATTCTCAAGAAGTAGTTTCACTAGTAAAGTCCTAAGTCTCCAGATTTAAGACACCTTCTTCTGCTTGCTGGCTAGGAACACTGCCAAGGGGGCACTGTGAAATCTTTTACCGGAATTAGCTTATTTTAAAACAATTTTTAAAAATCTTATGATGAATCCTCCCTGATAATTATTTTAAGCCCTCTTCTAAATATGAATGTATGATAAAATTAGTTTTTTTCCATTAAAGTGTAAGTATTCTATAAGTCTCAAGGCCTAATATACCTTTTTTGTAAAATGATGTAGTATGAAAGAATTTCTCCACTTATAGATTAAACACATTATAATATAAATATGTCTTTTGTTTTGTTAGCACCAAGTAGCTTCTGACTAAAAGCCTCCCAAACAAACTGAATCACTCAAAGCTAACCACTTGTCTTGCAGCTCCCTAATTACTTAAAGAGGAGAATCTAATTTTTCCAGAAGTTTTTGACATGATTTTAGTTTCTCTGTGAATTCAATTTAAGTTGTTGATGATTTCTACATGGAGTCTTTCTAGATAGAAGGTAAACTATATTATATTTAATGTTATCCCACTGGGAGAAACTATAAAATGCAAACAAAATAAATAAAACAAAATTAAATTTTTAAAATTTACTTATAGGAACTTTGGTAAAGGGTAAGACAGGACACAATACTGGGGACACCAGCACAACTTCTACAAGGCAAGGTCATGGTAGCTCCACAGACAGCATCCAAACTCCCTGAGGGACAAATTCCTGGACTGAGGGCTGTGGGGACCATGGTCTCGGGGAACATCTAGCTCAATTGGTGTTAACAGTTTATAAAGACAACGTTCTATATTCTACTTTGGTGAGTAGTGTCTGGGGGTCTTAAAAGCTTGTGAGTGGACATCTAAGACACTCCACTGGTCTCACCCCACCGGGAGTAAGGGAGAATGAAGAAAACTAAAGACACAAGGGAAAGATTAGTCCAAAGGACCAATGGACCACAACTACCACAGCCTCCACCAGACTGAGTCCGGACTAGCTGGATGATGTCCAGCTACCACCAATGACTGCTCTGACAGGGATCACAATTGAGGGTTCCGGGCAGAGCTGGAGAAAAATGTGGAATAAAATTCTAACTCACAAAAAAAGACCACTGACTGGCCTGACAGAGACTGGAGAAACCCCAAGAATATGGCCCCCAGATACTCTTCTAGCTCAGTAATGAAGTGACTCCTGAGGTTCACCCTTCATCCAAAGATCAGACAGGCCCATAAAATAAAATGAGACTAAAAGGGTACACCAGCTCAGAGGCAAGGACTAGAAGGCAGGAAGGGACAGGAAAGCTAGTAAAAGGGAATCCAAGGTCGACAAGGGAGAGTGTTGACATGTCGTGGGGTTGGTAACCAATGTCATAAAACAATATGTGTACTGTTCAATGAGAAGCTAGTTTGTTCCGTAAACCTTCATCTAAAGTACAATAATTTAAAAAAAAAGAGAAAAAAAAACCTCACTTACAGGAATTATTCCCTTCTCTTGTATATATTTTCACTCACCAATAATAAAAGTTTTTTTTTAACCTTAGTAGTCTTAAAAAAAAAAAAAAAAGAACAGTTTTCATAAAGCTGACTCCGTCTCATAGCAACCTCATGTGTGTCAAAGTAGAACCGTGCTCCATAGCGTTTTTAACGGCTGATTTTCCAGAACTAGATCACCAGGCCTTTCTTCCGAGGTGCCTCTAGGTGGACTCAACTGCCAACCTTTCAATAAGCAGTAGAGTGCATTAACTGTTTGTACCACCCAGGGACTCCTTAGTAATCTAAATATACATCCAAAAGTATGCAGGCCACTTAAAATTTTGGATTAAAATGTCCAAATCTGTTTTCTTGGTTTAGTTACCAGATCCTAGAGCATTTTCCAAACATATCTAACAACCAAACTCTTTTTCCATAAAGTATATCCTAGCATTAGTGTTTTGAAACCAACTTGAGACATGCTGTCTTGTGATATTTTTTGCACCTTTATTAAAACCCTCAAGGTTATACCAAGAACTTGCGACTCAACTAAAAAATTACAAGCTGAAAAGGTCTTCTGGAATAAACTCTATTCATTTTAGAAACATTCATTTAAAACCACCTATGTGACAGAACCTGAGAATACAAAGGTGGGTAAGTCATGGCCCTTCCCCAGTATATCCAAGTGATTTCATTTGACAAGAAAATCTGAGAACCACTTAGCTTATCAGGTAGTCCAGAAATGAATACAATTAACCATAAAGTACCTTCTTTAATTATGTGAAAGATGTTATGTATGAAATGCTTTGGGAAACCTAGGAGGGAATGATTTCAGTCAGCCTGATGGTGGGGCCATATGAGTTGAAGGATGAGTAGGATTTCACCAGGTAGAAAGGAAAGAAGGGCTATGAAGGAAGGAAAATGGCAGAGTATGATCAGGGAATTAATGAGTTGAAAGGATTAGAGAATGTGGCTGAGGGGTGGGAGAGCCTATCTAGATTTAGTAAGGAGGAAGCAGAGTAGAATGGGTAGAATTAGGGCTGGAAAGGCTGGATGGAGCCAGTTTAGGAATAGTTTTTAATATTCTATAAAGAAAGAAATTTCCACCTCACTCAGGTGCTTCTCCTCTACTCCAGGTCCTTCAGTATTTATGAACTTAATTTATATTGTATAAAGTTTCATCTATTTAATATCAACATAGCATTCGGCCAAGAACCAGACAATAGGCAAAAGTTACCTGTTAACAGGCTAAACAAAGGACCCCTCCTGGTCCATATTTTGAACACATTGATTTTTGTTTGAAACACAATTCTCATTTATCTGGTTTCTAAATATACTGGATATAAGAAGTAACAGCTGTCAATGAGTGTGCAATAAATGTGTGGCAATCTGGATCCATACAGGGTAAACTTGCCTAGTTCTTTATACATCAAGAATTTGAAAGATTTGTGAGTTATAATTCAATAACTGACATTCACAATAACTATATCCTAATCATCAAGAAAAGGTTAACTCTGCTCAGCAAACTTTAAGGAAAGAGGGGTAGACATAATAGAATCCAGGAAGACTACCATTAAAAAAAGCTTTATTGTTTAAAAAGGTGAACCTAAACTATTCAAGACTTATGTTTTAAGATATAATAAAAGATTTTAGAAGTTACAGACTTTCTGGAGCCACCAAGGCTGGATGAACCCCCAAAACTATCGCCCTGAGATAATTAAACTTTAAACCTTAACCAAAACTATTTCCGGAAGTCTTCTGAACCAAAAAAAAATAGCTTATCTTAATTATAAAGTACATCTGCTTTGAGCATTGTGCTCTGTTAAAGAATTATCTATGTGAGACTAAACTGACAACGGTAACTTGAAAGGTTGGATGGGAAGCTTAGGGGTCAGTGAGTTTAAGACAATGGTGGTACAATAATTTGGAAAAGGACAGAAACAATGGTGGCACAATTTGAAGAATGTAATCAATGTTACTGAACTGGTCATGCAGAAATTGTTGAAATGGGGTATCTTTGGCTGTATATACTTACACCAGAAATAAAAATACATATTTTTTAAGATTTTAGAAGTTATTACACAGATTTCAAAATGTTTTAAACATTAAGTGTTTTTATAAACATTATCTCATGTGATCACTTTAATTGGTTCCTCTTTTCTCCTGTGTATTTCCCAATGTTTAATCCTTTACCCTCTTCCTTTTTTCAGTCTACGTACTATGGCTTCATTAATCCTGTATAAGGATAGCTCCCAAATCTGTATTTACACCTCCCTCCTACTGGGCATCTCAATTTGAACTTTTCACAGGCACCGGTCCCTTCCCTTATATTCCTGCTTTCAGCAGGGAGCATCACCATCCACTCAAGCTCCAAAGCCAGAATCATGCATCTATATGTCAGTCAGAATCACATCAGCTACAAAAAACCCCACAAAGCTAAACATCAGCCAAATCAGGATGTCACAAGGCCCTGAGCCTCCTAGTGCAGAAAGGCAGCAACAGACAGTCTGCAGCCACACCCACTCACTCTCCCTGCAAGACTCCCACTTAGGGCTGTCGACTAACCTCCTACCCCAACACTGAACCAAGGAGCTAAGCTGCTGCTCCTCACAGTTGCTCTGCCCGTTCTAAAGGCCACACGTCAGTGGGCCCCACAGCCTAAGCTGTGACTGAACTGTGATGCCCCACCCCAGTCAAGTCCAAGATATAAGCTCCTCCGATAGTTCATCTTCACGCTCATAACTGGTGCTTCCTTCCACTCCCCCACCCTCCATGACACAATTCCTTATTCTCCTTCCCACACCTTTGTAGTATGTTATCTGGAACTTCCAAAGCCTGTCAGTGAAATGTAGGAATGCCACTCCTCCTACAGCCCTCTCAAGAGGGCTTGTCCTCTGGCAGCCAACCAGGAACAGGATGCAGGCTTGGCATCCTCTCTGATCCCCAATACTGCTTCCCAGCTGTTTCGCCTCTACTGCCTCCTAAAAACTCTTGTTCCACTGAGGCTCAAGGTCAGCGGTTGTAGGATCCTGTCCTCATTCATACTGTAGTCATCATTAACTCACCTCCAAGATATAAACTGAATATACTGCCCCCTGGAGTCCTCCTCTCCACCTCTGGTTTGATCATTCTGTCTCTTCAACTCTTCAATAAAGACCCAACCCTCACTCTGATCCCTCAGTTCAATGACTTTCTCTACTCGAATAGCTGGCCGCACATTGGACTTTGTCAGTGTCCAAAACTGCTCGACCTCTGAAATAATTAATTCCAACATCCCACTCTGACTGCAACATCCTTCTAGTTTACTCTCTCCCCTAGATTCTTCCTTCACACCTGTTCTCCCACCACACTGAGATCACTGGACCATTGAAGTCTCTACTTTCTTCCTTT